CCATCTTACACCCTGGGGTCTAGAAGCACTCAGTTGACAGGAGGCCTCAGATCCGTGTGCCTCCATCTTCCCATGGGCTTCATTCCACTTGCCCCAGTGACCAAGCCCCAGGGCAAGAGCAGGCCATAGGATTAATTGACTGGAAGACTTTCCCTTCCAGTAGGCACCATCTCCAGAGCTGGGTCTCCTCCAGGCTGGCATTTGGTGGCCTGGCAGCCACAGCCCCTGGGGATCTCAGAGCCTGGGAGCTGTCAATGCCTTCCACTCACTTAGCCCTTGTTAATTGCAGAATACACAGATTGCTGGGTAGCACTTTCCAGTGTTGTGCCTTTTCCTGGCTCCTTTGCCACTTGGCAGCTTGCAGGCAGCTGTGCGAAACAGCAAGGATCTTTCTCATTCGGTGCCAGTGTCACAGAGTCTGGACTCCGTTTCTAGTTTCCTTTTTTGTTGTTGTTTGTTTGGGGTTTGTCTTTCTTCCCTTTCTACCCAAGAACTCTCTGTTGCTCATCTCTCCTACCACACTCCCTTATCTCTCTGTGCCTTGTCCTTCAAATCTGGGGCTCTCCTTGATGCCCCCCACTCCCCCTGAAATAAAAAAGCGAAACTTTGCCCTCTGCCAGAGGGAATCCCTCGTCAGGCAGAAGTAATTGAATCCTCCGTGGAAATGGGAAGACATGGATGAAGAGATTAAAACATCTCCTGAGTGCTAGAGGAAATGTGTCATGATCCCCTACCTGGAGGTCAGGTAGCCCGAGAACCTGGAGCTTTGAACATCCCCCATGGGGGGGGGGAGTTTCCAGTTGGCTGTAGGTAATTGCAGCAGAATGAAGCCAGCAGGCCAACAACTCTGCCAAGACCTGCAATGGTCCATCCCCTTTGCCCCCACCAGAGAGATTCATGAACCATTATGAGTCTGAGCCTTTATATCTGGTGGGCTTTCTGAGCAAGGGAAGTGAGAAGCCTCAGATAGAACAGCACACAAGTATCCCCACAAGGAAAGAAGCAAAGGGTTAGATGAGAAGTAGAACTGACTGGGGTGGCAAAGGTAAGGGGAGCAACATCCCTGCCCACTCTGCGCAAGACATCCCAGGTGGACAACGATGGTGGGATATAGCCCCTGCCCTGGAGAGACTGAAACCCCTCTGTTTTCTGTCTGATTGAATCATCTGTCACTCTCCATCTTCCCATGCAGGGAGTGTGCTGAGATCAGACAGCAGGATAGTGGCCTGGAGAATCAGAACATGAGTAAACAGTGGCTAAAGACAGGCAGGCAGGTAGGCAGGCATATACACATGCACACACGTGGGAGACACACACACACACACACACACACACACACACACACACACACACACACACACACCACCAGCTTCCAGAACCATGCTTTTGACTTAACCTGAGACAAATCAGAAGCATTTTAAGATGTTTGAATCTTCCCAGTTCTTGTGACTCCCAAACAAGCCCCAACTTCCCCTAAGTATCTCCAAGATCTAAGCTAGTTCAACAGAGGGACAGTGGATGCTGAGAGGGAAGCCAGCAAAAAGAGACCTCCTGTCTACCAACACAGAGGAACCCATGTGCTCCAGAGTCCAGATCCTTCTGTGCAATAGAATCTTTGTGCTAGGGCTGGGGGTGTTGTCCAGTAGTAGAGTGCTTGCCTAGAATGCGCCTGGCCTTGGACTCTGTCCCTACTGTAATTTACGTGAATTCCTATGCCAGAAACTAGAGTAACTGCTGCTCTTACACCCTGCACACATAAGGGTCTTCCCTACTGAGCAGTTTCCCACACCTCATCCCACCATGGATACCCACCGGTACTAGGTTCCCCTCCCCAGAAGAGGAGGAATGGGAAAAAGTTGTGGGAAAAAGTTGCTTCCATCTGTTGCCATCTGTCCTTGACACTTACAAGGGCTCCCTAATGTCCTCCCAGGTACAGGACACAAACATGCCTGAAAGGACCCTCGTCCTGCCACTCTACAAAGCACATCCTTGGCTTCTTAGTGTTCCTGGGTGTCAGAAATCCAATTGCATCTATGGTGTTTGTGATTTCTATAATTATTTCCTTTTTTTAAACAGCATTTAGAAAAGTTCCTTTTGAAATTTTCAGTCTATCCCCGAGTGCAAAAGGGGAAAGGAGGTTTGGGCTGAGTTTGCCAGGTCTCAAAGACAGCCAAGAGTGCCTGGAGTCTCCCAGAGCAGGTGGGGATAGCAGATGGTGGGCAGCAGGGAAGCCTAAAGGTGTTGGGGGCTCTTGAGGGTCCCTGATCTTTTGCAGGTTCTCCTTCAAAAGTGCAAATGTGGTGTCTGTGCCCCTCCAACACCAGGTCCCTACCCACCCCCATCAGGGTCCCTTCTTGGCCTGGCCTCTAGGGCAGAGCTGGCATTTCTCAGGATCCCACTCACATTCTACTACTGAGTCAGGACCATCCTCCATTGTTCCGGCTTTTCAGGTTGGGTATGATTTTCTACCAAGATATTTTAACCCAAGGCATCCAGATACTATTTGGTTCTGTCCGGTTTGGGTTAGTACTCGGTATTAAGCCTAATGACCCCCCACATGCTAAGCACCCCATCCTGTCGAGGCATGCCCTCACCCAATGCCTGTGTATTTAATAATGGTTAGCTGAGAACAACAGTGCTTACCAGTGGAGCAATGATGCTATCAAGACGTCATGTAAAGGTACAAGGCAGTAATGTGGGCTCAAAGGCCTGAGCCATTGATCAGTCAGCCTCGGGAGTCCCAGGGTCCCTCACTTGCTGAGCATTCTCGAGCTCTCCCACTCATTTCTCAAATGGCTTGGGACAATTTGTTTAACCTCTCTGGGCCCCCAATTTTCTCAGCTTTTAGAGTTTGGCTTCTTTGCTGTTGACCCCACAGTAGAAATTTCAGCCCCTCTGGAACTAACCTGAGGAGGGATTTCAGCCAAAGGACACTTAGCCACCCTCACCCAACCTGAGTAAGTCACAGCCACTCCGCCCACTCATTGCATTATGGCTCCACTGCCATCAGGTTCTACCCTTCCGGCCAGCAAGAGTGGCATCTGTCTGTGGGACCAGCTTAGGCAGACCCAAGTAGCTAAACGCCCGGAGCACCCAAGTGAAACCCAGGTGCAGAGCGGTAACAAGGGATGCCGGTAGGAAGCGCAGACAGCGTGATGCTGAGGCTCAACCCAAAGGTTTGCATCCAGTCTTTGTAAACCAGGCAGCCCTGGTGAGTGGGAAGACACTCCCAAGGCCTGAGTGAGGTCTCAAGTCAGACTTTCCGCATGGGCCCAGCGCTGCTCCCTGACCCATACAGAAGTCTCGGCCCCTACCCTCACTGCTTCCCTGCCCCCTCGCTGGAGGGGAGAAGCCTGCTTATTGCTCTGGGTGGGACCCAAGCCCATGGGAAATTGAACAGAAACAGCCAGCCTAGGTTGCTATTGTTTGGCTTAAACAAACCACTGGCTGGGCTGCCGTGGAGAGGAATGAGGGGGAGGCCAGAGAAGAGAAAGCATGCTGCTGGGCTGGGCTTCCCTGCCTCCTCCCCATCTTGTTAGGGTAGCCAAGAGAGCTATTTGGGGCGAGTGCTTCCAGGCTTCCTTTGGTCATGACCTCCCCTTGTGGACCGCCATTGAGAAGAAAAGCCTCCAGGCTCCAAACCTCCATCCCGCTCCCACCTTAGCCTTGGCATCTCAGCTTCTGGTCACATCTGGTTCTGATACCAGCCCCAGACAACGCCAGGCCCCAGAGTAGAGGAGCTAAGCCATTGCACTGTAGCACCAGGCAGGCTGCAGTGGCCGCTAACACAAGAGCCTGTATTTGAAGGCTACCCACGTGCACCCGGGGCTGCAGGAATGGGGTTGGGGAGAGGATGGAGAAGACCAAAGGCAGTGGACTTAGGGTGTGTAGGATCCTGTCCTTCTAGCCTCCTGCCCCTTCTCCCAACTGAAAATGACCTAGATAGACCCTTATAGTTGAGCCTAGAGAAGGGACCCATGCAAGGAGACCCACAGTGAAGAGTGGACAAGCATGGCCCAAAGCAGAGAGGTCAGATCCTTGTCCCCTCCCATAAGTACCCCTTCTAGGTCCTAGAATAGCCAATAAGTTAACCATGGTACAACCCTCATTCCCTCCCCCCACCACTCCTCCATCCTGCCTCCACTTTCGGAGAGTGAGAGGCATAGACTGCCCCAGGAAGGACTGAGAGGAAAGGGGGCCAGGGCACAGTTAGGTGTTGGCAAAATCAATTAAGAACCACGCTAATCACCATCATTACAGCTATAAAACCCCACACCTAGGGCCCTCAGGGCTCCCTGGCATGGCCTGGGGCCCCCGAGCTGTGGCACAGACCCAGGGGCCTGGCTCCAGCCTCTTTCATCTAAGCATCCAGCAGTCCTGCAAAAACAATAATTAGCACCCGCCTCCAGGAGCAACTCATTATCCCACAGACACTGAGTGGAAGGAAGGAGGGCAGAGGGAAGCAGAGAGAAACTGAGGCCAAACAGACTGCCCAGAGCTGGGGCTAAGTCTAGTCAAGCAGTCCACTCTCTCCCCGACCTCCCCTCTGCTTCCTTGCCTCATAAGCTGGAGGATCCAGAGGGAGCAGAGTCCTCCCCGGTGAAGATGAGTTAACTAGCCGGCTGCTAGGGACAGGCAGGCCAGGTGTCCCATGAACAGTTACACCTTGCACCCAGCCTCAGGTGCTGATGGTGAGCCCAAGGCAACCCATTGGGAAGGTCTCTATCAGGATCCCTCAGAAACCAGGTGTCTGTTCTCTGCCTCCAGGACACCTCCCATCCCTTGATACCCTGCAACTGTCTCCTCTCCCCCAGCTCCCTGAAGTACCATTTTCCAACCCCCAACTAGTCTCCCAGAAGCAGCCACACCCCTCCTCCGTCCTGCTCCCAGAGAAAGACCAGCTGCTAAGGACAATGAGGGGTTGCTGAAGCATGGCCAGAGTCAGCCTCTACCATCACTGCCCAGGAAGTAATCCACAGTCTTTCCTTCTCTCCCTTTAGGGTGCAGACTTGAAATCTGGGATTATCCGGGGCAATGTGATATCAGGTGAGTGGGTCCTCCCAGCATCCCTTCTCCAGAAGGGCATTAACACAGTCATAAGAGTAACCATGACACTAATTCACAATGTGCAAATACCAGCTATAGGGGTTACTTGTAGGCTAGGTCACTGACATCCAGGTTTTTATTTGGGGGGGGGGTTGGGAGGTTTGAGTCAGGGTCTCATGTATTCCAAGGTGGCCTCAAATTCAACATAGCTCAAGAATTATCTTGAACTTCTGATCCTCCTGCCTCTGTCTCCTGAGTTCTGAGATTGTAGGCATATACCACCATGCTCTGTTTCTGCCATGCTGGTAATAGAACCCAGAACTTCAAGCATGCTAGAGGCAAGTACTCTACCAACTGAGTCATAGCGCCAGCCCCTAGGTCTACTTTTAAACAAGCTGAGGCTGAAGGAGGGGGGGACTTCCCCTTATCACTGCAGCTAGGAAGGCATGAGGCCAGTCAAGGGTCTAGGTGGTCAGAGGGCACTCATTACTAAATTTTCCAGGCCCCTAGACCCCCATACCCTTCCTTCTGAGGTCCTCACCCTTAAGGTGTGCCTTGGGTGCTATTTAAAGGGGATACTCAGATGGTGAGTTGGCCTCAGACAAAAAAACTAAAGATAAATGGTCCCGAACAGTCTGTGAATGAAGTAGCATGGGCTGCCATCATGTAGGCCAATTCCAACTCCACTTGCTTGGGGCCCAGTCTCACTTCTCAAACCCTCAGTCTCCTCATAAAAACGAACCTAAACAAGGCCTGGGTGGAAGGAAGTTGTCATTTATATACCCAGCCAACGTGGGGAACCCACTGCCCACTCCCAAATCTTCACTCCTGGAGGTTTTGAATGGGGGAGGTTTCTTCAGGAAAGCCCGAGTAAGAGAGTTAAGGGTAAATCCCCATTTCCCTGAGATTAAATCCATAAGTCTAATTTCAGTTTGTCCATGCAGAATTCTGACCACTAGGTAACCCCTGAGCCCGCCAGCCTGGCCAGAGGCCACCTGTTACCTCTGCCTTCCACAAACCCATGTTCATGAAGTGACAGTCTTTTTACTCCCCACGCTGGAAGTCTTTGAGAGGAATCCCCTGATTTGCCTAAATTCCGAAGCTCCAAAGCAGCCTGGGAGCCTTGGCAAGCTATCACCTGCCTCCTTGTAGACCCTGAACCACACAAATGGCACACCCTGCTCTGTTCCCTCAGCGCGCACACACACACACACACACACACACACACACACACACACACACACACAATCTGATCTGCAACGGGAAAGATGAGCAGTCAGGAAATTCCCTAGCTCTCGGTACACTGGTGGCCCAGTGGCCGGAAATATACCACGAGAACTACTTCCAACCATGCCCAACAGTCAGTCCCCTTTTTGTTTCATGGTTAAGAGAGGGAAGGAGGAGGAGGAGACGGCCATGAAGAGCCAGTGTTCCCACCCACTAGCCTCCCCCCTTGCAATCAAGCTCTCCCTCCCACCACCAACACCCCCACCCCAACCCAGGGAGATTCTTGGCCCCAGCTTGTATATCCTCCTGGGAAAGGGAAATGGGGAGAGGAAAATGGGGAAGGCAAGGCAGCCTTGGAAGGAGTTCCAGCTTAGAAGGCCTAGTCCAGGCCAACCAAGTCCCCTGTTGCTATGTAGGCACAAGGCAAAGAGGAAGTATATCTTCACCCTACAATTTTACCCCCAAAACAGCCAGCCTCCAAGAGGGAGAATGAGAAGGAGGGAGCCTTCTCCCCAGTGCCCCGAGCTTCCCAGCTTCCACGGTTGCCTGTGATCAAACCTTTTGAACCCAGTCCCACCCACCCTAGTAACCACTTCCAGATTCTCCCAAACCATCCAAGAAACTAGCTTCTTTAGGGATTGGCTTCCTAAGGAAATCCTTTTTAAAAATTTAAATTTAATTAAAACACACTGCCAAACACACTCATAGGGGAAGATGGATTTCTCTTGAGGCAGGAAATTCATCAGGAGAGACTAAAACAAGCAGGATACCACCAACTCCCCATCCACTGGCCCAGAACAGCATGGGAGCCTCAATCCTCCATGCCAACCTGAAGTTCCACTACTAGCAACAACACACCTACCTATCCCTAACAGACACTTTTAATAAAGACACTGAAGGGGAGATCCCACCAAGCATAAGTCCTAATGGGGGAGGAGGGAGGGGCTCAATAGGTGTGACTTTATTTGGGTGACACTGGGAAGGTCTCCAGGGATGGAAAAACACAGCTGACTTTTTTTAAAGAGCAGCCAGGAGACGCAGTAAGCAGGAGCTCCACCCTAGGTAGCATGGTGGTGACCCCACCTGTGTCTCTCGTCATTTTCCCTACAGATTACCAGGCTCCCACCCCGCCACCGACCACTGGCTTACACCGCTACCAGTTCTTCGTCTATCTTCAGGGAGATAGGGTCATCTCCATCTCTGACAAAGAAAACAGAAACCGAGGTGAGGCCATCTGCACCTTCACACAGAAGCTAGGTTGGATTCTGGGGCAAAACTGAAGTGTGTGTCTTTATGGGGAAGTCAGAACTTCTACTTCTACCCAAGAGCCTTGGAGGTGGGGGGTCAAAGGGCAGTATTTCTTGGGAGTGAATTGATTGGGACGAATGTCTTAAAGGAGGTGTTGACTTCAGATGTGGTCTCCCAGAAGTAAACACATCAGCATAGGAGCGCCCCCCAAAACTTTGCATGGCATGTATGGGCAACTACCCTACAACACCTCAGCAGGTAATTGTGCCCTATAATTGAGGCCAATCTGGGCAAGAGTACCCTGGAATGCCACCCTGCTGGTCTGTCTTCATTAGTGGTTAATTGCTTGGTCTGCCTTGCCATCTCAGTGATGGGGCAAAGATGTCCCCAGTCACGCCCCTTCTCCCAACTTCCCCTAGCAATTCTCCTCAGACACAAGGGAGGACACATTTCCAAAGCCTTCCCATGTCTAACCTGCCTGCTTGGCCTCAGTCATCCCACCAACGGGGTTCTGAAGCTTCCCAGACAGACTGCAGGTAGTTCACCGTGTGAGCCTTAGGTTTCTCTTTGGGAAATGGGAATAGAGCGATCCCTGTGCACTCTGTCACCTCCCTGGCTTAGGAGACAGGGAAGGTCCTGCAGAAGTCACAGCGGCAGTGTAAGGGTGCATAAGCACACACGCCCCAGGCCTTGCAAAGGTGAGTGGGAAGGCAGATGTGGGCAGCCGTTTCCCCTCCCCCGGTGACCCCAAGTAACTTCCACCCACTGGGAAACCGGCACAGGTATTGTCACATCCCCTGTGCCTGAGGCTCCAGAGGTAAAGAGCTGAAGCCCAGAACGAGGCTGGCACGCTGGTGAAGCAAGGCCTTCAGATGTGTGCCGAGCAGAGGCCTTCAGTCACGGAGGACTCAGCCCCTGGAGCCAAGACAGTGTCACTTTTCCACTCATGAACCCTCCCAGGTGCCTCCAACCCCTTGCCAGCATGCATGTCTGTTTAAACAGCTCTGACAAGGCCACACTTTTAAGTCTTGGTATCAAGCGGGAAGAAAGGGAGAAAAGAATGCGTCCTGACCAGACCAAAACAAGTCTCGTGTTTCCCCAGCTTCCTGGGTACCCAGTTCATCAAAATGACAGGAAGCTACCTAGGCTGTGTAGCTGCAGGGTGCCAGGAACTAATGTCCTCTACCCGGTTATCACCCATTCTATGTGATTCTTGTAGAATAAAGCAGTGCCTCAGTGCCATACCTCAGACTCCAGGATCCCAATGCTGGTGCCTCAGCCAGGAAAACGCTCAGAACAAACAGGCTCACAGTGAGACGCTGGCTTTCTTATGACAGGATGGAAGTGAAGGAGGCGCGTTAGAGGATGCCAGGAAGAACAGTGACAGGGGCCAGAGAGGAAGGGGGCAGTGTGTGCCCAAGACATTGCTGCCCTGCCGTGCTGAGACAAGGCTCCAGAGATGTGACTTAGCCTAGCATCCATGAGACAGAGGCTCAGGTACGCGGCAGAGGCTGCCCACCCCAACTCCTAGGACAGACAGCAAGGCAAGAAAACTGCAAATCCATGAGGCCTGAAATCACTTTCATTACGTGTGCCCACTCACACTTGTTACGTGCCTGCATCTGAGCAGAATAAGGCCCTAGAGTTTTCTTTGCTAAAGAAGGTCATGGTCCCACCATGGAGGCTACCTTCCACGCCTTTGTGCCTAGCCTTGTGCCGAGAGGAAACAGTCCCAGAGTCCACAGGATTTTCCCTGCCCTAAGGGAGCTGACAGTCTAGTTTGGAACTGATTAAATAACAGTGCAGAACAGCTTATAATTAAGTCCTTAACTGCATTGTTCTGACACGGAGGACACAATAATATCATGTGGACCGGGGGTAGATCTCGTCCCTTCCTGGGGTCTATTTCTCTCCAGAACAGCACCCCTCTTCTCCCAGGTAGAGAATGAAAAGTGTTTAACTGTGGGGTGAGGAAATCTTGCTTCAACTTTCTAGCTGGTGGTAATTCTCTCAGTGCCTCAGTTTCCACTTCAGAATGATGAGGTGCTCATTGGCGTGCAGTCCACAGATTTCTTGCCCTGGGGCTTCATGGAGGAGTGGAAGAGAGACTGGGCCCCACAGAAGCAAATCTGAACTCTTGAGTGAAGGAAGAGGGAGCCCTTGATTGTGGAAACTAAAGATGCAAAGTTGTCGTTGTCGTTGTTTTCAAATAAGAAAACAGGAAGCAAGTTGAGAGGTGGCGCACACCTTTAATCCCAGCACTCAGGAGGCAGAAGCAGGCAGATCTCTGAGCTTGAGGCTAGCCTGGTCTACAGAGCAAGTTCCAGCACAACCAGAGCTGTTACACAGAGAAACCTTGTCTTAAATAAATAATTAAAAATAAAAAAAGAAAGAGAAAAAATTTTAAAATAAAGAAAATAGGAACAAACAGAGGCAAGACCACCAGAAATGTGGCAATCGTGGGTAAACCACAAGAAGCTAGTAGAGACTGTCTGTGGGACAGGTAGCTCGTGAAGTGGCTCTGTAGAAACAAGCAATCCAAATAATCAGAGAGACGGGGGCACGAGGACACCGGAGGTGTGCTGATGTGAGGCAGCGAGCGAGAGGCCAACAGAGATGGACCCAGGGCGATTACAAAAGCAGAAACTGTTGTGGTCCTTGCATAACTTAGAGTATTGAGAGCCTGGTACACTCTGCACTGACAGTGCTCAGGAACTCACAGAGCCCGAGGCAAAACCAACACTCAGGTCAGGGCATAGGGCCCTGCCAATGAACACAAGCCCCAGGACTTGCCTTGATCTCGTTTTCTGTCCATAGGATTAGAGCTATGAGAGATGTAGGTATGCTAGAATCAGGTGCTGTATCCCCCAGGGTGAACAGGCTGAAGGGGAAAGGTGAAGAAGTTATAGGAGTTAGGCAAAGGGACATCTAAAAAGAAAGCTGGCTGAGTCAATTAGCTAGACAATTATAAGAAACGTTTGCAAAGCAGTTTTGAAACTAAAGTGACCTAAAGGTCCCCACTGTGACGCAGGGTCCAGTTCACTTTGGAATAAACAAATAAATGTAGAGCCAGTTGCGTTTTATCCCTGTGCAGGGCCTTGTCCTCTTCGGGACTCATTTGTATGTGACAGGCTGAATGTGGCAATGAGTCGTCATTGAACCTGCCACGACTGGAAACGAGTGGTAGGTGGCATTGTTCAAAGCAAAGAGGGTGAAACCCTCCTCAGGACAAATACATGTCCTCAGAGAATAAGGACATCTCAACATTCAAGCTCTCTCAATCAGGGTGTGACCTCGCACCTCACACCCCATGCCTTGATCCCCTCTCGTGACAATGGAATCGATTATTCTACAGTGGAATGACCTGGAACTGACTTCCTGAGTTCTGCCACATGAATGAGAGTGTTGACAAGACTTGACTGAAGGGGGCAACTCCAGACATTTCAGAGTGGGGGGTTTCCACAGGGAGGACCTAGGGGGGTTCAACCTACTCTGATCTAGTTAGGAAGTCCTGTGGTGCCATGATGCCACCCCTGTGCCACAGCCCCTCCTGTCATGACTGCCCAATGCCCTCTGAGTTCCCGGGACAATGTCTCATGCTAAGTTGTGCCCAACATGGCGCCCAGTGCTGACATGGCAAAAGAAAACTGCAAGTCTCTGTTCCCTTGGATGTGGGTGTCACCCTGGCGTAGCCTGAGTACTGGAGCACACAAAATGCTCTGGAGAAGGTATGCAAATATATCAAGTATCGTTAGCCCCCCCCCCCGAAGCCACTACCTCTGTTATATTTCACTGACATCATCCCAAAGGCCATGCTTTGCCCACACTTTGAGCTAGAGATAACTCTAGCCTAGGAGGTACTGGACTTTCACTCTCTGCTTCCTGGTGGATGGTCCTGTCCTACCTACCTACCTACCTACCCCCCCACACACACACGCACACACACGCACGCACGCACGCACACACACACATACACACACACGCACACACGTGCGCACAAGCATGATTCTCTATGGTTTCCCCGTATGTTTTCCTAGCAGCATCCTTTGCCTTGGTATATCCACTTCCATAATCCGAAGGAATTAACCGATCCCATAGCAGGCCCTACGCACACAATGTACAGCTTCCTAGGAGTCTCACAGGTTGCCAGAACAACTGATTCACCCATCCCTGTCTGCCCATCTAGATGGGCCAACTGTCCCCTTCCCCCATCTGGACTATTCCTCAGCGTGTACCATTGTAGTCCAGGGCTGTCCCCTCTCAACTCAGCTTTGCCCCCACTCCTGTTAGTGTCCCCATCGCTGTGCCAGCGTCCCTAACGTTCTGTTATGCTCAGGCATCTGCCTGGGTTTCTTCAGTGTTGGTAAATACTGCTGGTAAATACTGCTCTACTCTTGTCCACCATGGCACTAGAGATTCCTGGAGAGAAGAGGTCCTCCCTTTGATTATCTGTCACTTCGCCAAGCCTATGGTGGCCTCTCAGTCACTGTGTGTGTGTGTGTGTGTGTGTGTGTCACACCCACAGACACACATGTATAGGCCATTCACACACAGATCTGTATGTTCTCACACCCCCACGTTCACACAGACACCATGTTAACATCCTTCAACACCTGAAAAGGCAGCCACCTCTCTGAATGCTTATGCCCTCAAATGACAATCCCTACATCCACATCCTCCCTGTCCAACCCCAGGCCAGCAGGGCTGCCTTTCTGCCACCCGCCTTGAACTCGGTGACATTTTCCTTAGCCCCCACCATGTCAGGAGGCAGGACAGTGGCTGACATCCCCTGAATGACTGAGGAAATTTGAAGTCCATGAGAAACAAAAGATCTACAGCTAACAGCAGGCCAAACCTTCTCCTGGCAGATGGCTCTTGACACTGGAACCAACTCACTCAACACTGCTCTCCCCAACCAGATCACCAGATTTCAGGGACAGACAGGAAGCAACTGTATCTTGTCCGAAGCCTGAAAG